GGCTGAGGCCCTTTCAAGGTGCCAGGTCATGGGAGGTAGCTGTGCTGGCTGGGGCTGGCCTGAGCAGGCAGTGAGGACTCGGACTCGGACTCGGACTCGTGGACAGGGCAGTGTGTATGACTGCACCCAACCTGCGACCAGTCAGAAACCATCCTGTGCTCCTCCCAGGCCCTGCTCTCAGAGGTCAGGGTGGGCACAGGAAGGAATGACGAGGAGGGTATCTCATGCTCAACTGAGAGCATCCGGCCACCACTCACTGAGGAATGGGTATTTCTTGCAGGAGCCGACGTGCATGCAGACCCGCCTGCAGCTGTACACGGCGGGCCTGCAGGGCAGCCTCTCCAGACTCAAGCAGCCCTTGACCATGAAAGCCAGCCACTACAAGCAGCACTGTCCCCCGACCCCGGTAAGTGCCCCAGCAAGGCCCCAGGCAGGGGTGAGGGGGTCTTGGCTGCAGCTGTCCAGAATCCCACAGGCTTTCTATAGCAAAAGACCTGTAATGATTAACCCCTCCAGAGAGTGGGTGGCCATCCTTTTCCACCCCTCGAAGCTGAAGCCAAGGAGCTCTGGAGCGCACGGTGCTCCTGGCAAAGCTGCCACTGTCCTTGCTAGTACTGCCATGATCATGAATGAGGTCAGGGGAGAGGCAAACCCAAGTGAACCAGCCTGCCCACGGTCCTGAGGAAGTGCCAGGGTCCAGGGCCACCTCCCAACAGGATTTCCCCTGGCCTCATGTGAGGTGCCTGGATTGGATGGGGCAAGGAAGGGGGCCTACCTGGAATGGACAAAGGCCCCCAATACTCCGTCCTCCCTATGGGAAGGAAATGAGTTCTGTGGCCTTGACTCCTGCTCCTTCTGGGCACACAGAGATGGCCTTGGCCCAGCTGCTCTGCCCTGGCCTGGCCCAAGACTGAACAGGGTGTGGTCCAACTTCCCAGAACAGCAGCCTCAAGCTGGCACTTGGTCAGGTTACCATGTGGGTAACACATGGGTGGCAACAGTGTCACCTGTCCAGGTCACAGGCAGGTTCCTCTGGCCCCTGAGTTCTAAGGGGCAGTACAGAGGCATGCTGGTGCTTCCCCATGTTACCCACGTGCCTGGCTCAAGTGTTCTCTCTCTCATTTTTTTCTTAAGGAAACTTCCTGTGAAACCCAGATGATCACCTTCAACAGCTTCAAAAAGAACCTAAAGGACTTTCTGTTTGTCATCCCCTTTGACTGCTGGCAGCCAGTCCAGGAGTGAGGCACACGGGCCAGCCAGGCCAGCCCTGGAGCTTACCTCACAGATCATTCCTCTCTCACGGAACAAGAGCCAGAGACTCAGGATCTTCATCTTGGAGGGACCACCGGGTGGGTCACGGCCATGGAGGGGGAGCACAGCCCTGTCCCAGGCCATGCTGGCCTCCATACGGCCATGGAAACGGATGGGGGACGTTTCACACGGGCAGGGATCAATAGTATTTATTTATATATTTATATTTTTAAACATATTTATTTATTTATTTATTTAAGCTCCTACACACTATTTATTCAAGATGTTTTACCATAATAATAAATTATTTAAAAATCTGCTTTAACTGTATGATTTTTCTGGCTTATTTTCAACCTGGAGCAAATGCTGGAGTTGTTCCTTCTCCCTACAGGGTAGGGCGGGGAGGAAGCAGGGAGGTGGGGGAAGGGGCCAGGGACCCCCCAGGGTGTGTGTGCTACCTGGGGGACAACACTGTCAGCACAGAGGGAGGTGAGAGCCGGCCCAGGCGTGGTGCCCTGCACACCTGGATGTGCTTCCCTGATGGTTCAGGTTCACCAGGAAGTTCAAGCAACCAGCTGGGGGAGGCTTTCCCCAGAGAAGGGGACCCATCCTTCCTGGGGAGGCCTGTGGGTCTCGGGGGACTGGCTGGTCACTAGTTCAACAGGCCCACCCTGGTGTCAGATGTGGGACATCTGTGTGCCTTGGAGGCTCTGGGCCCTGTGTCGCAAGCTCTGCCCTCACACTCAGGGCTTCAGTCACCTCTAAGGCAACTCCGTAAGCAGACTGTTTGGAGAAAAAGAAACCAAACCACAGGGGTCAGAGCTCAGCATTTTTACCAAACTTTCCCCAAATTGGGTGATCTTAATCGTTGGCAGGTTCAAGTTCACAACTGTTGGTACACAGCAGCATTTTCCTGAACTGGGTTTTATTTTTACATGCAGTTTTGAATCCAGTCAGGCACTTTCCCTAAAATCCACAGCCTCCAGGCTGAGAGAAAAGCAGCTCTCCTCCTTCTTGCTTGGACACCCAAAGACCTTGTTCCTGAACTTGTACCCCTCCTGGGGACTGTGAGGAAGGGCTGCGTCCCCCAGATCTCACGGGAGAAGAGGAGCCAGCCTTACCCTGGACAGGCGTGCCTGAGGAAGCTGGCTTGTTGTGGCCTTAGCCCCTGCCTGGTGCCCTCCGCCACCCCTTTGCTCTCCCTGCTCCAGCCAGCACCCAAAGGCAGTGCCAGGCCTGGCCGGAGACCGGCCCCACATCAGGCAAAAGGTCATGACTCCAAATGTGACTACAAAGAGAAGTTCTGAGACCAAGCCTGAGATTCAGCAAAGACAAAGAATCCATGTAGTGTGCTGTGGTCATTGAAAATGCATGAAAAGCACATCTTGCCCGGCGATAAGGTCCCCTCTGCCTTCCTCGTAAGCCAGCGATGACTGATAAGAGGTTTAGCATTTCCTTAGACTCACATATATAGGTATCCCTCCCCATAGAAATGCTGCCAAGCCCATAGCTCGGATCGGCTGGGAGCCACCTTCCAGTAATACCATGTACCTGTACGTACTCCTGGCTTGTGTGCTCTGGGGCTCAGAGAGCCATTCCGCCTCAACTGCGGTAGCCACTCTGCTTCCCCACGAGAATCACACGGAACTCTGCGCTGAGATTCAGAAAGAACTTTCTGCTGACAACAAAACATACACGGTAAGTCTGGGTCTTCGTCAGCCGTCATTTTGCTGCCAGTAGTCTTTGTGTCTCTGATCAACTTCTTCTGCTTTCAGGGTTCCTTCAGCAAGCCCCAGAATACCAGTGAGGTAAGGAGCAGCTGCCCCTGGGACCTTCGTGACCACATTTGGACAGAGACAGCAAGATCACCCCCGTCAGCACCTAGGGAAGAGATAAGAACAAGGGTCACTTGTGAGAAATAGGGGGAGAAACTGAGCATGTGAGGACGAACCCTCATACCCAGCCAACAAATGGGCCAGAGGCCAGGTGCTGGAATTTGCCAGACTGTCTGGTTACCATCCTGGTGCTGCTCTGGGTTCGGAAAGTACCAGACACTCCTTGCCTTCACTGCCCGGCCTGGAGGGCCCACAGGTCTCCTGTGGGAGAGTCTGCGGAAGGCCTGAGCTTGGGTGCAGGGCTCCATCCCACCAGGTGGCCAAGGTTGGATAAGGGTAGGGAGGGAAGGCTGGTTCCTCCCTGCAGTCCGCCCTCATCCCGGTGCCCCCCATTCTGTTTCAGGAACCCTGCTATGGGGAGTTTACAAAGAACTTCACCTCCACTCTGAAGGATCTTGCTATGAAATATGACAAGCAAGACCATCACATTATAAAGGTTTATAAAGACATGAAAAGGCTCACCCAAATCTGCTCGAAGCTGAAAGTAAGTTGCTATTTGCTCTTAAGGGAATCAGACATTATTTTCTTGCACCACAGCCAGGGTCCCAGTGGGGCAAAGGGCTACTTAGGGGATTCATTTGTCACATGCAAGGTCTCAGGTGCTGCTTGGGCCACACAGATGGTTATCCACTGGGACTGTTTCCAAGCCAAAAGAATCCACTTCCCGACAGGGGCTGGAAGGTGGGGAGTGGAGGCCTGGACATGAGGAAATGGAAACTCAGGGGTCGATCTGGGGCTTTCTGCCTGCATCCTGTCCCCTCACCCCACACGCACAGAGGTCAGTGTGAGGCAGGTCTGAGAGAGGAGAGCAGGGCCAGTCATGGACTCAGCCTCTCAGTGCAGACTGGGCTAGGTGAGCCGCCCGTTCAAGCTCGCTCTAGTTTGCCCTGCCCTGGGAGACTCTTCTGGGGTGCCAACCCCCTAGAGCTCATGCTGGGGGCATGGGCTATAGTTTAGGGGAGCATTCTGAGGAAATGCTGCCCTAAATGAGGAATGAGGTGCTCCTTTCTCACCCCCTGCTTGCATAGTGACCTCTGGACGGCCAGCCTGTTGGTCCTCGTGTTGCTGTCCTGCACACCCTGGTACCTGCTGGCTCCCTCCTCATAGCTATGGACGGTCCTTAGACGCTAGGTCTCCAGTGTCCTGCCTAAGTCAGATGGGAAGGGCTTACCCAAGCTACCTCCTGGGAGGTGGGATGCTTATAAGACCCTTGTAGGTGGGAGGACAAGCATTTATACATGAAAAGGCTCACCCAAATCTGCTCGAAGCTGAAAGTAAGTTGCTATTTGCTCTTAAGGGAATCAGACATTATTTTCTTGCACCACAGCCAGGGTCCCAGTGGGGCAAAGGGCTACTTAGGGGATTCATTTGTCACATGCAAGGTCTCAGGTGCTGCTTGGGCCACACAGATGGTTATCCACTGGGACTGTTTCCAAGCCAAAAGAATCCACTTCCCGACAGGGGCTGGAAGGTGGGGAGTGGAGGCCTGGACATGAGGAAATGGAAACTCAGGGGTCGATCTGGGGCTTTCTGCCTGCATCCTGTCCCCTCACCCCACACGCACAGAGGTCAGTGTGAGGCAGGTCTGAGAGAGGAGAGCAGGGCCAGTCATGGACTCAGCCTCTCAGTGCAGACTGGGCTAGGTGAGCCGCCCGTTCAAGCTCGCTCTAGTTTGCCCTGCCCTGGGAGACTCTTCTGGGGTGCCAACCCCCTAGAGCTCATGCTGGGGGCATGGGCTATAGTTTAGGGGAGCATTCTGAGGAAATGCTGCCCTAAATGAGGAATGAGGTGCTCCTTTCTCACCCCCTGCTTGCATAGTGACCTCTGGACGGCCAGCCTGTTGGTCCTCGTGTTGCTGTCCTGCACACCCTGGTACCTGCTGGCTCCCTCCTCATAGCTATGGACGGTCCTTAGACGCTAGGTCTCCAGTGTCCTGCCTAAGTCAGATGGGAAGGGCTTACCCAAGCTACCTCCTGGGAGGTGGGATGCTTATAAGACCCTTGTAGGTGGGAGGACAAGCATTTATTTGTATTTATCTTTTTTTTTTCCTGCTAAGAAGACAATTTAAATATCTATTTCTTTCTTAGCCAACAGACTCTCCCAAGAACTGTACTATTGAGCAAAGCGATTTCTCCAACTTCAAGGCAGCCTTACGGAGGGTCATCACATCCATAGAAGGATGGAAATCTTGTAAGAGGATCAAAGGCAGCCTCTGGGACCCCATCCTCTCACAGGGCTAGAACTGTGGGAAACGGGATTGGAGCAGCCTCGGAAACAATTCACTGCTGGGGTGGAGGGAAGTTTACTGGCCCTGCGATGGCAGACACGCTTGGGGGGTGGGGAGGAGGTGCCTGAAGACATGTTTCTGTGAGGGATGCATCTACACTTGCTGCTTCAATAAAGCCTGGGCTATGGGCATGCTGGTGAGTGAGAGTCTTGAAAGAGTCCAGCATCACTGGACCCAGTGGACTGGAAGGGGTGGGGATGGGAGAGGTGATAGCATAACTGGACCCCAGCCCAGGCACTGGTGGGAGTCCCACCCCATCCAACCCTCCATTGAGTCTCCTGTGCCAGGGGACAACCAGAGGGGGTCCCGCAGCCTCTGTGCATCTTGTTACTGCCCTTGTCCCTGAGTCCTTCAGATCTCAAGTCAGACCCTTTCCTAGGCCCCTTCCCCAGCCTCAGCTGGCCTGTTGCCCTCCAGATCCAGGTCAAGACTTGAGGCTCAAAGCCCTTCCCCCTTGGCTCTCTGCTGCAGCTGCTGGGAGGTCTAGGTCTAAGTCGTCTCCGTGCCCCTCAGGCCTGGTGTGTCAGCCCTGGTCAATGGCTCAGATGAATCAGAGGCTCTTGGGCAGCTTGCAGAGGACTGGGCAGTGTGGGACCTTGGCAAAGGGGGCCCATGGAGCCAGGAATGTGTCCCAATCCCAGGGTCATCTGGACCAGCAGAGTATCTTGATCTCAAAAGAAAGCCCTTGACCCAGCCACAGTGGCACACAGGTGGTGCCACCACTTGGGATGGGGAAAGCCACACAGGAGGCCTGTCCTGGGCCAACCTGAACACACGCTGAGCAGAGCTGCTTGCACCTGTCATCCTAGTCAATTGGGAGGCTGGGGCAGTGAGATCCCTCTCATAGCCTCCCTTTCTCTCTGGCTCTCTCTTTAAGGAAAAAATGTAATAAAGCCTCTTACTTGGTCTGCAAAGCCCCTCCCAATACCCTCTGGTGTCTTTGGCATGATAGCCCACTCGACTAGTAACATACTTTGGAGCCCCACACCCCCAGAGTTCTGGGCCCTGCTTGTGGCAAGTCTGCCAGTTGCTTGGGACCCCGCGTTCTGACCCCCTACGTACTAGTAGCTCTAACC